CATCAGCTGAGATAAGGATCTGTCCAAAGAGGACTCCTCCTTTGAGAAGCCTCCTTTCTTAGCCCTCACTTCACATCTTTAGAGTCCACAGCCATGATCTCTCTTCCCGCTGAGCTGTGAAGTCAGGTCCCCATGGTAGAATCCAGTGACGATCTGGTGTCGTCTGGGGGACTTGGTCGTGGAGCACGATTGTTGGGTTAACTCAGTGGCTAACCATGACTTAATTGCATTTCCCTATGTCTTTCACCACCACTGGCTGAGAAAGCAGGACAATTATGACAGTTAGATGGTGCATCTCAGCCTCCGTGAGGTGAGTGCAGGTCAGTGACAAAGGCGAAGGGGCCAGAAGGCGTCTCAAGCATTCCTTCAAAACTCAGGGCCTCCTCATTTCAGACCAGTCCCTGCACATGGGAAATTTGTGTTACTTTCATTTCATCTTCTACGCATATCTAACTTAGATACAAACACTAATTGGCAGAGCCCGAAAGGACGTCACATCGTAAATCTTCCTGCTAAGGTCACAGAGCACGAAGACATTCCTAACAAACCACAAATTTTGGAACACCTGGCATTTTTGGCTAGAATTTAATGCCTGACAGCCTCAATTTACAGTAAACTACTGATCATTATTAAACACTCATTAAACCAGATGAGGGAAGATGGGTGAAGAGGCTTGGAAAGTGATGGAGACATAAAAATGTAGCACCAAGTCAGGAGGCAGAGGGTGAAACCTGTGGAACCTGCAGCCTTAGCCACTCAACAGTATTAACAGGAGCTGCACTGACGGAGTGGACGGCTCCCAAAAATGGCTACAAAGAAGAATGGGATGAGAGCCAAAAATAAATGCTGAAGCTGTGTGACTGCAAAATGATAATTTAATGCATATGCTTTTAGGAATGTGCTTTTGTACATTGCGTGGGCGGGGGGAACCCTCTTGGTCAGGGATAGCTGAATACAGAATTCTGACATTTTAATGAACTTCTTGTTGTTTTATGAAGAGGAGAAAGAGACTTAGAGAATCTTCCAAGACATGTTTAAAAGAGTTTGAGAGCCAGCAGGGGAACGCAGTCATTTACGACATGGTGTTGGATTAGCGGGGTCAGCTTGGTGGAGGGCAAAAGGAGCGGGTTTCATCTAAATGGCAAACCGAAGGAAAATTTCAGGGTTCTGCTGAAAACTTTCAGAAGTTTAATATAATTTTCCCGTTTATAGTGGTTTGTTTCATTTGAGGTTTCTTTGGTGGTTCCTCCCATCTCTCTCTCTCTCTTTTTTTTTTTTCAAAAGATCTCTTTGTAGAATTGGGTTCCTGAGATACAGAGTGCATATAAACATTAGAGGGGAATTATGGTTTATTGAATTACTCCATATTTTTGAAGGGAAAAATAGAAATTTAGAAATTGTCAGGAGAAAGGGATGGTGAGGGCTAAGGGCTGAGTTTTCCAAGCCACAGGTTGATGCTTCAGTAATAGATTCCATGTGTTTCTTCTTGGCTTCAAGCTGACTTTGGCCAAGGGTGGGCAAATATTAAATAAGCTCTCTTGGGAAGGGGAAGCATGAACAGGGCTCGGTGTGATCTGTCCCTGAGGCCAGCAGTGTCCTTCCCCTCAGAGGTGAGCCCTGCAGCACCGCTGCCTGGGGTGTGAGCAATTTGTTTCCAGCAGTCTGTTGTTCCCTTTAGACTTCCTAACCTGCATTCTAGGCCTTCCCCACGGAAATTCCTCTCTGGGAACCCTGAGAAGGGAAGTGAAAAGGCCAAAGACCCCACTTCCTCCCTGCCACCAGCGTTAGCCAACACTTTTCCGCTGTCTCCACAGCCACCGCCTGCAAGAGTCCAAATTTGGGTCCCCATTTCCTCTCTTTCCCCTGCCTCCTCCCCAGCCGCACAGAATCACATGTCTGGCACCAGCTCAGACTGGATTTTTAGAGCTGAGTAGGACCTCAAAAGAAACTTGGGTTCTGTCTGTTAGCTTAGAGGTGGGCAGCCAAGCAGACGCGGACAAGCGTTGTGTGGTCTCGGCTTAAATTTCCATTCTCTGCTGCCCCTGGAATCCTGGCCCTTGGGCACTCAGTGCCATGTGCAATGATTTTCCCTCCTGATCAGCGCTGGGCTGGTCTGTAGGCTGGTCTGCCCACCCCTCCACGCCCCATTTTGCCCTAACATGCCAAGTTTCCCGCCTGGCAGTGCCTCCCCACAGGGATGCTGAACTGACTGGGTCTTCGAGACCTGTCATAGGGAGGTGAAGGGGAGCAAACAAACCTTGGCTTTCGGGCCTGGGAAGGATGAGACCAAAGGCTGACCCAAAAGCCAACAATCACCAAGCTGAGTTAAATGAATAAGCAACGGGAACCACTTCTTTCTCAGCTGTCTCCTTAGGCCTTGCCAGCCATTCAAATAGCGCCACCGTGGCTGTTTTCAGAACCTGTTTCATTTGCCTTGTTTTGGATTATTTTTCCCCCCTTTTAGACAAAGATTTGCAGCTCCCTTCAGGATTCAACTGCAATTTTGACTTCCCCGAGGAGCCCTGTGGTTGGATGTATGACCATGCCAAGTGGCTCCGGAGCACCTGGACCAGCAGCTCCAGCCCCGACGACCGGACGTTTCCAGGTAAGCCGGCCGCAAATTAAGAGATGAAAGAGTTAAGGCCAGCCTGCTCCACGCCTTTCAGCCCCAGGTTCCCTGACGAGCTTCCTAACTTCCCACCACAGAGCAGCCCTCTGCTCTTTGCCCACAAACCACCAGCCTTGTCTTACAACGTCACCCTCCAGAATAGCCGGTTGGCGGTTCTGAGCCCTGTCTTGTGATTACAGTGCAGCCTGGAAGCGGGGAGGGAGTGAGAGAGGCCAAGATAAAAGACAGAGGAAGAAGAAAGAAAGAGCAGTTGGGAGGGCCCAGGAGAAGGGGTGAGTCAGTGTCCCTTTGTTCCCATGGCCAGTGCTTGCTGCCACCATCACAGAGCCTCCTGTCAACTCCAAGCTGAGTATTGTTCCTAAAATGGCTCATGGGGGAAGCCCTGGCCTCAGGTCAGACTGGTCCTTCTTGGAGGGTACCGTTGCTTCTGTAGCATCCCAGTCGAGGGCCTGAAACACCGCCACATCCATGGGTTTCTAGCAGAGCTGCCTGCCACTGGCCTCTCAAAGAGCGTGGCTGCCAGTTCTTGAGATATTGTGAAGCCGCCCTTTGGGTTTCAGAGAGCCACATTTCAGAGCCTCTCCGGCACTGCTGAGAGAAGGGTTGCCTCCAGCCCTTCTAAACAGGTAGAAGCGAAGGTTGTCCACTCTCCCCACTGGCTCATGTTTTCACAGTGTTGTTCTGGGAAATGTTTAAGAACTGGCTCTCCAAGTTAAAAACAAAAATACCTGCTTTGGAATATTTGCCACTGTCCGTGGTGTAAATCCTCCCACTATGGTTGAATTCAAGCCACCAATGTGACATCATCGGAGGTGGCATTGAGAAGGGCAGCAACGCAGCCTTAGATAGGTTTTTTTCCATTACGCAGATACAATAGATATAAATAGTTTTGGGGGCATAGATACCGGTACAGTGTGCTAAAATCACTAGGAAGTGTTGAGATTTGGTTTTTAATATAGCTTTATATAATTTAATTTTTAATAATGCTTGCCTTTAACAGCTGGCTTGCAAAATTCCAGAAAGTGTAACAGTCTGCTCTCACCAGCCAGTGGTACACATTGCTCCAGCACATCACATGTTAGCTTTCAGTTTTCCTGGACCTTAAGCCTGCATAAACATTTGAGAGGAAAGGGGTTAATTCAGAAAATTAGTAGATCATATGTTGCCTGATTAGAGAATAAAAGGGGGGAGGGACCTCCCTGCTGCAGAGGCCCCCAGAGATGCTCTGCTGCCCCTCACCCCAAAGACTGGCCGTGTCCCCTGTCCCCAGGGGATGGCAGTGGGACAGACGTTAGGAGAGCACCGCGGGCCGCCTCCTGACACAGCCCGCACTTGCTTTCCCAGAGGGTCACAGCGTCTGCTCTGGAGAAAAAACATTTTCATATTTCAAGTGTTTATCTCTTCAGCATTTGAGTGCTCAGAGAGATTAATATCTGAAGATCACCACGGCCTCGGGCAACAGGAGAGAACACTTACCCTCGCCCCAGCCTTAATCACCCTCCCCCTTCTCGTTCACTGCAATAATGTTTAATTAATATAATGAGCCTCCTGCACGTTGGGAAAAAAAATACTTATTTTTATAACCCAGCCTGGATTTTTCATTTCATTTCCTCTCCTTTGAGACTTGGCCCAATTAATTGGTGCTTTTTCCCAACCCCCACTTTTTATCCGAACGTAAAGAAGGTTTGTGGCTGTGTATGTGTGTGTGTGCATGGTATTTATAGGTGTGTATTTGTGGGTTGTGTGTGTATGTGTTTCTTTCTCAAGGTATTTGTGTTTTTTATGTGTATATGCATTTGTTGTGTGTTCTTATGGGTAAATGTATGCGTGTTTGTAGATATGTGTGTGTATTTGGTTTGTGTGCATGTGTAAATCTGTGTAGATGTTTGTGTGTGTCTGTATGTTTGTGTTTGTGGTTTATATGCACAAGCGTGTGTGTGTGTGTGTGTAAGGTGTGGTAAGGGGGCAGCTTGGCTGAGGCACTTTGAATAAAGGGATGCAAAGGACACAGTAAGGGGAGATTTCCTGGCTCTTATCCATCGCGCCCATCTTCAGGTTCTTTCTAATAATTCAGCCTCCTCCCTTGCACTCTTCTGAGCAGATTTTCTCTAAGAATGTCTGAGGCCAGCCCTCTGCAGGCTCCAAGGCCACCAATTAGCACGTGACACTTTGCGGGGAGCTTGAGTTCCTCTCCCTTTGACGCCGTTCCCTCCGCCCTCTCCTCACCTTCCCCTGATGCCCCAGCGGCCGGCGACCCGGCTACTGGCTGGGGATCCACATTGCTGCCCTCATTTCACTTGAGTCATGACACCCTGCGGTTCGGGAGGGCTTTTCAGAGCACTGTCATGGAGTGGGCAGAAGCCCAAGCTCTGGCTGGCTGGTGGGGATGGGGAGAGAATTAGGGCCACACGGCACTGCTAGAGCTCATGGAGTTTCTCCCTTAAGAGTTATTTTCCTCTTCCAGAGGAATCCCTCAAGTTTGGGAAAGTGGCACTTGGACACTGCTCCCAAAAAACAAAATCTTAATATTGTCTTGAGAGCCCTTCCGTCCAGCCTCTGATGATTTAAAAACTCATTGGCTGTACTTCCCATTTCCCTTCTCCTTATAAGACTCGATACCGGGCTTTAGGCAGGAGAGGATAGAAAGCTCTTTCTGTTCAGGGTGGTCCTTTCTTCTTCTTCTTCTTTAAAAAAAAGATGGGGGCCCTGCGGGGAGCAGTTGGGAGAAAGGAAACAGCTGTGCTTGGTTAGGGGCAGGGCCAGTGCCAGTGGGTTCAGAGCCCGGGACCTTCCAAGTCAAACCTGGAAGCCACTGTGCCACCCACTGATCACCACTCACAAAGAGGAGACCGCCCCGCTCTTTGAGAGAAGTGTGCTCTGTGTTTTTATCCCGTTATTAGATATGTAAACAACAGTAATTACACTTAAGGAAGGCGGCATCTCCATCGAGGATAGAGGGAGCCCAGAGGAAAGAAAAAAGGAAGCAGCCGTGTTGAAATATCAGACACAGGCTGTTTGATTAGACGTGTCTGTGGAAATGACTTAAACATTCCTTAGATGTTTTCTGATTTAGTTCTTTTCTCATGTTTTGTTTTGTTTTTCTTTTCTTTTCCTTTTAAGTAAGCACTTAGCTCTGTTCTTTTGGCTAGTGGTATTGGTTGCTTAAGGCTGACAAGACACCCACTGGTTTTATTCCACTGTTTTTGTTTTTCAAGATAGTCTTTCGAGACACTCAGAGTTTTCTTTTTTTAGCTTGTGGCTTAGATGCCTGGAGTGTGTTCCTGCCAGCCCCTGGGGACCGTGTTCCAAATCCAGTGACCCCTGGTGGTTGTAGAGGAGCCGGTACCACGTTCCCTGAGAAGCCACCTAGCCTTTGCCCTGTACCTACAGGGACACAGAAAATGTCTTCCCTAGCGGGAGCTGCTATGTTTCCTACAAACGTTCTCTGGGGTGTTGACCATAAACAGAAACATTTGAGGCCGATCAGATTCAGATCTTTAAGGAAGGCAAAATCTCCCTGAGATGCTCTGGTGAGCCCGTGGGTCTAGAGCTGCCCCATTTACCTGCCCTGCTAACGTGGTAGCCGCTAGCCACATGTGACTATTTTCATTGTAATTACTTAAAATTAAATCCAGATAAAACGTCAGTTCCTCCATCACACCAGCCACATTTCAGGCTTTGGTGTAAACCAAGAGGCAAGTAAGTAGGAGGCTGTGCCTTCTCTATGACCCCTTGGTGGATGTGTTCAGTGGCTGGTCTTTTTGTCACTGTGTCATTCTACCTCAGTGAGTAATCATAGTAAAGTAAGCGAATAACATAGCATTAGATAGTGTAGGAACTATTTTATTCAGTCAAAAGAGTAAACACCAAGTAATACCAGGAATAGTAATGCTAATTGTTTTACTATTATTATGATGATTATCGTCAGGAATGAGACAAGAAGACCAGAGATAAAGCTTTAGAATCTTCAAATGCGTGTTCTCCGTATTTGTTGACCTCGTGCAGTGTGATTACGGTATTACTTCATTTCAGTAACTCTAAGTCATGTGAGTGATACGTAGAAAACGGGCAAAGGCGATTCGTAATAGCACACGATTATAAGAGAGCAGAGATTTGGCTACCTAGCAATTATATGTTTATCGGATTGAGAGACCGGAACCTTTATTCTGGGCTCAAAAACAAGCTCAAGTGAGAGTTAAGTCAAGAACACCATGTTCTGAAATACTCGAATTTTACAAATGGCGGCCGTTCCATCAAATGTAAGTGCTGGGCCTGTTGACGTCTCGTCGGGCTGTCCCAGTGCAGGCTGAGCCACTGCATAAGCTCCGTGAGAGTGGAGAGCCAGACCTGTGAGTCACTGTGGGCTTACACAAACAAGAGGCTCGAGTGTGGGTGGGGGTGGCGGGCAGCTGGGCACAGAGAAAATGACTGATGAGCGAACTTGCTTGCAAGGGGCTTGATTTTGGGTAGTGAGCTAGCAGTGACTCCGTGGATTAAAAGAAATCTGTGAACTCAAAAGACCTTCCTCAGAGGCGGGACCGATGGTAGCAAACAGTTCAGACACTGGATTGGCAGGAGCTGGAATTGCCTTCAGAAAGAGGTTGCTGTGGCTTGGCAGGGCACAGCCACTGTGACACGGAGACGGGAACGTCTCGGGCTTAGACCGCGCTGGGTAATTGAAGAGCAGGGACAGCTTGGCTAAAAGAAAGCCAGTATTCAAGGAATAACTTCAGCTGGAAAAGGAGAGCATAGAGGCCCCTCTTTAAGGAAAGTAGGACAGAAAACATCTCTGACTTTGTAGAAAAGACAGCAGGAGAGAGAAGAAGCTATTATTCTTTTCTGAAAATCACGATTGGTTGAGTGTGCAGATGGGTAATGAAGGGGCAGAGTGGTAACAAGACTGACTCAACCGCAGACAGCTGACACGCAAAGCTGCCATACCAAAAAAATAGCCGTTCTAGAGACTCCTGCAAAGC